CCTTGTATGTAACTGTTCTCTTTTCTCCTGCTGTTTTAAAACTCTGTCTTTATTGCTACTTTTTGCCATTTTAATTATTATGTGTCTTAATTATTATGTAGACCTCCTTGGGTTAATCTTGTTGGATTTCTGTGTTTTCTGGATCTGGATATCTGTTTCCTTCCCTAGATAAGGACAGTTTCAGCTATTATTTCATCCCATAAATTTTGTGCCCTTTTTCTCTCTCCTCCTTATGAGATCCTTATAATGCAAATGATGGTGTTGCTGATTTCTCTTAACCTTTCTCATTTTGCATTACTCTTTTTTTCTTTTTGTTGTTCAGGTGGTCACCTTCTGTTACTCTGTCCTTCAGGTCCCAGATATGTCCTTCTCCTTCCTCTAATCTGTTTATTTTCTCTAGTGTATTTTTCATTTCAGCCATTGAGTTCTTTTTATATTTTCTTCCTCTTTGTTGAAGTTCCCACTGAGTCCATCCAGTCTTTCCCAAGTCCAGTGAGTATGTTTATGACCATTAATTACTCTGAATTCTCTACCAGGAATTTCTCTCTCTTTTATTTAGTCTTCTGTTGTGATTCGTCATCTTCTTTCATTTGGGACATACTTCTCTGTTTCCTCATTTTCTCTGACTCTCTATGTTTGTTTCTATGGTCAGGTAGGTCAGCGATGCTTCCTGGTCATGGCAGTAGTGGCCTTGTGTAGAAAGGTTCCCATGGTGTCCTGGTCACCTGGAGCAGGTGCCTCAGGGGTGGCTCCGTGTGGGCTGCGTGCACCCTCTTGTTGCGGCTGACCTGCATCTGCCTTCAGTCCTGTCATCTGCAATGACCTGCTTTGCCCTCTATGGTTACACTAGGCCAAGTCCAGTACCTGTGCTGTATGTGACTGCCACAGGCATGTAGGTGGGCAGGGTCAGTAGTCAGGTGAGCTGTCAGTCGTTCTGCCACAGCTGTGGGTCCGCCACAGGGCACGGCTTTCCCTCTGTGCTGGTGTGTGCGATTGTCTTCATCTCTTCCCAGGACAGGAGTTGCTCTGGATGGATGCCTGCTGAGGTGGGCAGGTTGAATGAGATGGGTCTGTAAGGCACTGGGGCATGCAGAGGGTCAGCACTGGCTCCCACAAGGCTCTGGCTATCCAGGCCGGAAAGGGGTGAGAAACCGTACCTGCCAGCACGTTTTTCCTGGAGAAGTCTCCTGAAGGTCCCTTCTGCTCCAGTGCACACTGCCTACACTTTTCAGAGCGCTGTTTCTGTGCTGTCTGGGCAGCTTGTTCATTATGCTGCTTCTTTAAGGGTGGGGACTCCACTGTTGCCCTCAGCTCTTCTGGAGTTAAGCCCTGCTGGTTTTCAAAGCCAAATGGTATGTATGGACCATCGTTTTCCCAGTGGGGTCTCTTCCTCCTGCCTCTCCATGGTTGGGGTGTCCTTCCTGATCACAGGAGATTTGGTTCCCAATTCTGTCCCTCCTACCCTTTCCAGTGTGGGCTCCTCTCCATGGTGAGCTGGGGAAGGCTTCTTCCAACAGTCCTCTGGTTGCTTTCAGAGTTAGCTGTATAAATGTAGCTGTTATCTTGGGGTGGCCCTGTGATGAGCTGGCCCAGGATCCCCTGATTCTGCTATCTTCCCGACCTGCTGAAATGCTTTTGATTTGCACTAACCATTATGTCATCAGATGGAATTTAAACAACTACCCTCCACAATATAGAATCAAAGAGACTGGCTATTTAAATTACTCTCGGGCTTATAACACACATGAAGACACATGAATAGAAGCGAGATGTGCATGATTTGACAATTCTGGTTTCTGCAAGAATTAAGATATTGGGTAGGGAATATTTACATGTATTAAACACCTGGAATGTTAAATTTCATTAGATTACTAAATACCAACATTAATAGAGAATGTATAACAAATTAGCATTTCTAAAATATATACTAATACAAATATTTATATATATACCAACATTAATAGAGAATGTATAACAAATTAGCATTTCTAAAATATATACTAATACAAATATTTATATATATTATGTATTTGTCATGTTAACCACTTACAGTTTTAAGAAGGTAGTGGGGATTGCTACTTATTTAAGTGTCATAAAGAAGGTAAATACAATGTTGACCAACCGACTCCAAAGAATGGAAGAGAATTTGTGGGAAACAGGAAGTCACAAAGTAGAAGGTAAAGCATCATAGCTAATGAAGAATAAACCAGAGAAAGAACTGGAACAATTAACATTTCTGTGCTGCTAAGTCATATCTTACAAACGTTTAATAGTCATCCAGTCCTGTTTGTATATATGATAGCATCTTATTTTTTATGGAATCATTTGAAAAACTATTCTGGGTCCCTTTCCTATGCTGCTGAGAAGAAAACAAGGCAGGAAGTGGTCATCTCACTTAGGAGGTGAGAGCAGGAGGGGGTCTGCTGCTATCAGAGACTTCCTGCACTGAATCCCTGAGGTTTAGAGGTATTACTATGGCAGAAGAAAACAGTCACACAAGCCTTTCTTAAAATGAACTCAAATGCTTTCCTTTCTGCTTTCAGAATAATTTGTTTTGACTATGGATATTTTCATGTGCACTGTGATTAAGAGCACAATTATTTTCCTTTTTCTCTTGTCATTCTTGGTGGTCATTCTTTCTAACAATTAACCTTTAGGACTTTCACCCTCAGGTGAAACAAACAGTGAGAAAGGTAGGTAGTCAGTGGCAGTATTAATTAGAACCTAGATCTCCAACACTCCACCTGCCACCCATCCCCCACACTAGGTAGGGGGAAAAAGTCTGAATGAAAGTCACAAGGCTACATGCATATATGAGAAAGAAAGTTGGTACAGGACAAGGATTCTGAAGTGATTTTGTATACAGTAGTTGTTATTGCTTTTTTAATGTTGAGGCTTCAGCCTTCCAGCAGTTTTAGGAAGGAGCAGACTGTGCTTACCTCTTCAGGTCATGCCTCTTCATGTAGCATTAAGCACATTGTGGGAACTCACCAACTGTGCATCCCAAACCCAAGCCTGATAAAAAGGAAGGAAACTGAACCGAGCAAAAAGCATCCTGGTGGTCCCTGGGTGGCTCAAACAGTTGAGCATCTGACTCTGGATTTTGGCTCAGGTCATGATCACACTGACAGTATGCAGCCTGCTTGGGATTCTCTCTCTAAATAAATAAGTAAAAAATTGAAAAAAAAAAAACCCACATACTGGTGGAGGTAGAGAAAGGACCACCCACTGATATTTTCCCACCATCCACTCCCTCCAAAGGCCAACTGCTTCTTACTAGCAACCTGAGCTGCCCCGACAGATCAAAATACGTCTCACTCAGAAGCCCGGGCTGGCGTTTATGAGCCAACAAAATGAAAATCAAGTTAAAGAGGGAGAAAACATGAAATAATATTTTCTTTCAAAATATAGATTGAAATTTGACTCCTATGCATGTCTGATGCACCATAAGTGGGCTTTAGATTGACTTGTGTTTTTGTTGCCTGGTTAAAGAAGTTAATAGAAACTTAAAATAGTTCCTTCCCCTGTGTGGCTCATTAGTGCTTTAATGTTTACCTTTACCTTTGCATCTTCTATTCTAATTAGAGCAAATCAGGGAAACTATTTCCAATATATGAGTGGGTTGAAAGCTCAGGTCAACTATAGTAGAACCACATTAGGATGAACCAGACATTAACTCACAAATCAGAATGTTAACTCTGTATAACAGCCTATACATTATGAAAAGGGGGACCATTGCTGTTTTGTTTCTCACTGTATCCCCAGCTTCTATCACGATGCCCGGCATGTAATCTGTACTCAAATACTACTAAATACTGTAATCACTAAGATATGACATGGCTTCGTGCAGATGTTTATCCCATCCCCTCATGCCAGCATGATACATCTCCTTGTAGGCTTGTTTACCTTACATTTAAGAAAAGAAACACATCACCAATGTAACAAAGAAATCCACTGGACATACACAAGGGAGGCAATGAAGATAAGACCTGAAGGGGTGATGTTTCCAAAGACAGGGAGTTACCATATGAACACAATTAGGAACGAGACTTTAAATCAGATAGCTTATTGAAGAACCATTGGTTCTCTTCTGGAATATCTACAAAGGAAGAAGTTGTCAAAAAAAAATAGCATGGCTTAGGTTACCCAATGAAGGAGAACATGAGGGAAAGAAAAAAAAAAAAAAAAAGATGTCACAAGGTGAATGGTTCAAAGGAACAAGAATGACTTGTGAATGTTTGATCGTTCACAGGAAATGATCAAAAGCTCATTCACAGGAAAAGAAAGTTTTGGTCTTTTAAGTAAACATTTGGGTTCGTAATGATCTAGGACATGCATAGAATAAATTTTTAGTTTGCTAGTTATGTAAGAGATGGTAAATTAATTCTGCATAATTAAAAGAAACAAGCAAGCACTAACATGACTCTCTTCACTTGTCCTTAAAGGGCTAAAAGAAATACATCTAAATCACATTGTTTACATAAAATACTGCATAAAGGTAGATTAATTTTTTCCTAAGATCACCTAAAGCTTGAAAATGATGGCTGGAAATTGATTAATTTTGGAACCAAGGAGTAATGTAAAGACAGAAGAAAGTTACTGAGGAACAACTTCTCAATGTGAGGAAAGGCAGACTGCCCATCTGGACAATGAGCAAAGCAATTAAACTGATAATTAATCCAGACTGCAAGTATAACACAACTTTAATTTGCCTCAAGTCACAGCAACAAACTGCATTCTCGGTATATAGTTAACTGATTCTGATATTCAGGTTTAAAAAGCCTGTTAACATGTACCTTGCTGGGTACCATTTCCACACTGGACTAATAAGCCTGCATCAGTACTTACAAACCTGCAGCATGCAGCGGCTGTCACATTTGCTAAAGCATATGTGTACAGTGGGTTGTATCCCACGTTTATTTTCTGAAATAGAACATGTAAATATGACTTTCATACTTTACAATTTTAGAGAAATGATAGAAATTTCTTAAAATTCCTACCTATCCCTGAGAATGGTCCAAAGCTCTCCACCTAGGCAAACTTCCATCAGCATATACAAATATTTGCTGTCCTTGAATGTTCTGTACAGTCTGTGAATTGCAAACAAGAAAACAAAGGTTATAAACATGGCTGCCTTTGAAAAAAATGGAGCAGTCTCAGTGCTCAAATTACAGCCTCACACTTGATTTACCAAACTTGACATGTTATTAAAGGAATGAGACAGATCTGTGTACAAATAGGGTAATGGAGGCGACAGCCGCCTGAGATGTACACAGTGTAGGGGGCTAGTCTGTCTTTTGCAATAAATGGATTAATCCACATGGTTATGGATCAAAATGGGTGCTTGGGGTTCCTCTAATCCCAATTTGGTGGATGCTGTAAGCATGGACCCTTGAGCCCTAGTGAGTGTTCATGAACATGAAGTATACATGGATATACAACAGACACACTTTACAAATATAGATAGGTAGGAAATTCCTGTGCAAGCCACTTATGCTCACACTGTCACATCCTGTTTTTAGTAAGTGCCACTGACCAATCAACTAGCCCAGGTTTCTCTGCATATGAAAACTCCCCATTATCCTGTGATTAATGCTCTGGAAATACAGAGGGGAGATAGTCCCTTCCTTTTTTAAGAGCTTCAAGAAATTAAATATTACTACTCAAATCATTAAAGGTACAAGAGTTTGATTTTTGATATTTTGTCCTTCGAGCTTCAATGGTCGATGCTGGCTTTTGGAGTCCCAGAGAATGGTTAGAACTCAGATTTCTTCTTTGGGAAAAATACATTTTCACAGAATCTGATTCTCTTTGAAGAAAATAGGATAGAATCAAAATGTCAGTTTTTTTTTAAGTCAAAGAAAAAAACTTTCTGAAAACCAGATTTAAAAGCCCGTGTCCTGCGAGAATGAGTGTATAACATGTGCGTGAGCTGCGGCGGGTTTCGTGACTGACTCCCGTGGGGAGCATGGCACAGGGCGTCTACCTCACTATGAAGTCCGAATGAGCCCCCTGCATGATCTGCTTCTCCGACCGAATGTGCTCCTGCTGTCTGGTATCCACGATGTGGCGTTTCTTGAGAATCTTCATGGCAAACGTCTTGGACTCCTCACTTTTCAGCTGGACCTTAAACACAGGCAGAGGGAGCTAAGTGAGAAGCAGCTCAGGGCATTAATGCAACACTATGCCTTCTTAGCCCCAAATTACATGGAGCACTTGAGCGACAACCCAACCTTGCCCCAAACACACAGCACAACCGTGTGGAGCGGACATAAATCCAGTCTGTGAACTACTGTCCAGTCTCCCGATGACCTTTAAGTACATTCTCCATAAGTTCTGTGCCCCCTGGGATTGGAAGAGGGAGAGTGTATTGGATTCCCATTGTATGATTTCACTTCATGTCATGTGTTTGAGTATACTTTTACAGTATTTCTCCTCCAATCCAAACAGTATAAAAACCAAATTCCCCAGTTTCCCTTCAAGTGAGTGTGGTAGATGTCAGAACATTCCACGCTTGCTCCTTGGCCCTGGCCAGCACACATTTCTACAAGTATAAAACTCAGTGACTTGGGGCACACAGGTGGCTCAGTCGGTTGAGCATCCGACTTCTGCCGAGGTCATGATCTCAGGGTTCATGAGTTCCAGCCCCACATTGGAGCTGCTGCTGTCAGCACACAGCCGGATTCAAATTTTCTGTCCTGCTCTCTAGCTCCTCCCCTGCTGCGCTCTCCCAAAAGTAAATTAAAATAAAAAATAAGTAACATTCAGTGACAGACCACTCTCTGCTGAGACTGTGGATGTATGTGCTGTGATTTCTTCTCTTTTTACCTTCTAGTCTTACCCTTTCCTCCAGTTAAGTATATATTATTTATTTTGCAAGAGATTTTTGAGAACTTTTTTCCTTCTTTGCACATATGCCTGCTAGCTTTAATCCTGTGTGACCTCAGACCTGGCTGCTTAGGTACACTGACTGGGAGGACCGGGTGTCCCCAGTGCCCACACGCCTCTGCCGCAGCCCTACACAGCTCCCGGTGGCTTGCATTGTTCCAAATGCCATTCCTCTGACTGGCTGAGGGTCTGTGGTCACTGTTTTACAAACAAAAAAACAAAAAATAAAAATCAACAAGGTGACTTGGAAGGAAACTGAGAGGTAATGGAGCTAATCACTTAACAGCCACCTAAGAGAGTTATCCAGTGCTGCTGAGCAGCAGACTCGCAAGCCGGCAGTATCTGGAACTAACGAAAGCCTTGGGGAAACAGCGGGACAAGCAGTTTGTGTTTTCCAGCTGACGTATCACTGTCCCCTCTGGTCTCGAACGGTTTACTGCTGCTTCTGCAGGGGAGCAAAAGTCGTGTCTGGTTCATGTACACGTGTACGGACTGAATCCGCGTTTAGGGGACATTTCCGTGGCAGGGGCCCAAGGGCCCTTCACAGAAATGGGCCTGGTCTGCTGGTGGCACGTGTGGATCTGGAGGACAGGTTAGAGAGAAAAACAGATGTATGAAAATGCCGCAAGCAGCCAAAGGCCCTCTACTCCGTCTGCAAAACTCTTTAAGACGACAGATCAGTGTAATTCAAACGAACTCAGTTGTGGTTCATAATAAAACACCAAATGTGAACTCCCACTTCGAAAGGAAATCTGAGCAGACAGCATGAACAATGAGCTGCGTCAGAGTACTAAAAATCAGAGGGGAAATGAAACCACATTTTCTTTTTCGAGCCTCAGTTTAAACATTGAAGGCTCATGTGTAGTTTACGCACCTAACATAAAAATTATCCATCATTCTTTGTAGGGATGGGGACGTGCGTTTTTACTTGTGCCCAGGGTGGGAGGAAAAGGTTCTGCCTTCAGGGCCCCTGGACCGGACCCAAATCCTGACCTCACTGGGCTGGCTACCCAATGGCTCTGAGCCACAGTTCTTGCGGAAGATGCCCCTGGGCTACTGTGTGGAGTTACTGTCACCTTAAGTGAGAAAGTGCCACTGAGTGGGAAGTCATGAATGGCCTCTCTGCTGCCCCCTTTCCCCACCTGGCAGCCCCTGCCAGATAGGGTACCTTAGGTGGTGTCTGCAAAACAAAGCCAGACCAAGTCACTCCTCCGCTCCCAACACTGCAGTGGCTTCCCGCCTTGCTCACAGTACAGACAAAGCCGTCACAAAGGCCTACAAGGCCCTATGCCATTTGGACCCCACTCTTCCCTTACTCACTGCACTGGGGTCACACTGGCCTTGAGCACATCACGCAGGTGCATGCCTTGGGCTATGTGCATGTGCTGTTCTGCCCGAATAGTCTCGCACAGATATGCCCAGGAGTCACCCTCTCAGTTCCTGACGTTCTTTGCTCAAATGTCTCCTCACCAGTGTGTTCTCACACCAGCCCACGTACAAGAGGAACGACCCCCTTCCCTGTTTAATTCCCCTCCATAGCTTATAGCACAAACTAACACACTAAATAGTGTCTTCAACTTGTTGAGGTCCCGTGTCCTCTCACTGGACTGTGAGCAACCTGAGATGGGGGATTTTTATATTCCTGTCCCTGACATGGAGTAAGTGCTTATTATGTATTTGTTGGCTGCCTGACTCAAGGAAAGAATGCCACAGGCCCTGAAGATTCATCGCTGGCAAAGCCACAGCAGGGCCGGTGTCTCAGCTCCACACTGTGCATCTCTTAGCTTAACGATGGGAGCTAGGATGACAAGCATCTAGTGTTTGGTCTCTTCTGTTCCCAAGTGCCCCTAATTATGCAAGGAAGGGAAGAAAAGATTTCTACATGCCAATGCTGCATGGGCTCTATCCATGGGCAAACAGCTGTGTGATTCAGCCTCAGGTTTTCAGTTTGTATCCTTACAAGATGTTCTCTGAACTCAACCTTTTCCCCTGAATGATGTTCCCAAGCACAGAGCCTGCTAGATTAATAAAATTGTCTCTAGGATGCTGGCCAGTTGCCTGCCAACAAGCTCTTGGGGTCCAATAGCTCTAGACACCATGGCCATTTCTTAGGGACCCATTTCTGAGCCTACACTACTCTCCGTTCCCTGCTAATCAACAAATTACATGATTCCTAGTATGTTTACCAATTTTGTTATACCCACATCCAGTCATCTGACTTATTTCACTGTAGCCAGGATATTAGGTAAAAATATTCACATCACACACTTTTCTAATTAACAGTTTTGAACTGTATATTAGGGTGAATCTATGCAAGGAAATAAGTGAAGTTCTTGGGGACATCAGACAGAAATGGGAAGTAACCTTTGTGGAACACATCCATGCTGGGCACACCCACGTACCCTATTTTATTCAGTTGCAACATCAACTCTTCATGGCAAGAGGAAGAGATTTTTGTTTGTTTTTAGAAAGACTTTATCATCAGTAAAAATAGCTAATATCAATAAAGCTCAAATTAGGGGCCAGGAACAGTATAAGTTTTTTCCTTTAATCTTTTAGGGAACCGCTTGAGGTACCAATGTCTTCCCCATTTTTCAGAGGAGCTGAGGATTACCCAAGAGGTTCATATCTTGCCCAAGACCACAGAGCTGTCAAGTGGTAAAACTGTCTTTATGATCTTTTTGGCCCAAGCTATTTCCAGAATATTCTGCTTGGCTTCTGCAGCATATAAAACAAACTGAAGGCACAGTGACTGATGCTTTCTGAATGAGAGTTTAATGGGATTGGCTAACTCAGACTCAGTTACCTGTAAGTGTCGCTCACACTAGACATGTGGTTTAGGATGCCAGCCTGAGCCTTACTATCTGTTTTTGAGGGACCTCAATGTATTCTCAGGGATCTGGGGTGCCCAAGTGACTGAATTCCGCAGAGAGAAGCCAAGGATAGGAGTGAGCATAGGTGGGGAGGTAGATGGTGCTCATAGTCCGTGGGTGGCAGGTGGCCAGGACCAATGAGAGGTACATGAAAGTTCCAGAGATTACTGGGAGTCAGCCTTACTAGTTGCCAATTTAATAAGTATTAATTATAAGACATTTGCAGAGCCAAAGAGCTAGCCTACTGAGGTTTTCTGTTTGGTCTCTGCTTGAATGGAGGCAGTTCTACGGGCTGGAGCCCCCCTCCTTTGCCCTCCTCTGAGACCTGACTAGCTCCTTAGAGTAGAGCCCTTAGAATTTCTACTTCCATTTGAAACTAGAATGACCCACACATAATTCCCAGGATCTCAGCTCTTAAGCAGGAAGTCAGAGAGCCTGAGGACTCTTGGTGGAGGTAACTCAACAAAGTGTCTTGTGCAGAGTTAATTGTTTGAAAAAAATTTCCCCTGATAAATCCACATGTCTGACTCAACCCTGCTTCTAACGGCCAAACAATCTAAATGTCCATGCAGAGAAGCCTGGGGGAAAAAGTGGTACCTCTATGCAATGCAGCGGTAATAACTATGACTTAAAATGATGATTTAGCAAAGGGAAGAAAGTAAGAGAGGGACAAAACAAAAAACACTCTGGACTAAAGAGAGCAAACTGATGGTCACCAGAAGGGAGGTGGGTGGGGGGATGGATATTAAGGAGTGCTCTGTCATGAGCACCAGGTGATGTGTGGAAGTGTCCGATTGCTATAGTGTACACCTGAAACTAATACTGCACTGGAGGTTACCTAACTTGAGTTTAAATAAAAACAAAAAATGATGACTTAGAATTATTCTTGTTATGGGAAAATAAACCAACATACATATACGTATGTAACTCTATCTATCTAACTACCTACCTACCTAACTATCTGATACAGGATACAAGGCAGTGTACGTTTTATGACCCTATAAATAATACTTGTATGAATATGTATATCAAAAATAAATCTAGGAAGAGACAATTGGAAATGTGTTCCCCTATAAGTTAATGATGGTTTTCACTTAGGGAAATTTTTAATTTTACTTTTTACTTTTTGGAATTGCTTAACTTTTGTTCAATTATCATGTATCCCCTTTATGATGAAAAACCACAATGACTCTCATCATGGAAAATAAATTTTGAAGTGTCTTTTATATTGTACTAGTTATGTATTTCTGTCTGGCTCTCTCAAAGGATTCTGGTTCCATGCAAACCACTCTCGCAGAGAATTTCATGAGAGCAAAGACCTTGAGAAGTTGTATAAAGCACCACAATCCATGCAGGTTTGGGCAG